TTCTTGACAGCCCTTTTTGTCCTCTTCGATGGATCAGGACGACCCGGATGCTGCTCAGTTGTTTCCTTGCCGTGTTTTCTGAACTGCACGATGATTCTGTTGACTGTCGAAAGTGGGATTCCCAAATTATACGAAATTTGCCGCCGACTTATTCCACCATCTGCTTGACCAACTATCGTTCCTCTAACAAAATCTGACAATTCGAGAGAACCTTGAGTTCTAGGCATGTTGTAGTACAAGATAATTAGTGTGCGGACCATTTTCATTTATATAGTGCTCTGTAAACACAAATTAGCTAGCATAAATCAGTTAAATGACGAAAAATTAGATGTCTATTTACTTGTAACCACTCAGTGTACAACGTTTCGACAAGATTTTGTCATCATCAGGTACCTGTGTTATATATATATGGATTACTGATTGTTTTAGTAGGCCAGTGAGTTGACTAGTTACTTAAAAAAAAAAAACCTAGGAAGAAAGAGACAGGAAGTTAAAATAAAATCGAGATCTAGAAAAAAGAGGAAAGTTTGGAGTCGCCATAACTGTTGTAAAATTCTCTACCCCTGTGATACACTCCAGGACATAGATATCCCGCACAGCAATTAGTTAGGGACCGCTAACTAGATGTTTGAAAAAGAACACGCCACAGAGCAGGACAGGAGTACGTGTCTCTCTCTGAACTCTAACTAAGTTTATCAACAAAGAAAGAAGCAATACACAAGACGTACAAAACAACAATCTTTATTTGCCAAAATTGGTGAATGGACAAACACAATACATAGCCACAAAACAAAAGCAATTGTTTGTTATGAGTGTGTTGAATTTCAAGAAATTTAAGCTATGAAGCTAGTTTGAAAGGTTTGAGCATGTTTTGAATGGAGAACACAACTGTACAAAGGGATTTTGATATAGGTAATTAAATATAATAAGGGATTAAATATACTAGACTATGGAGTGTCTGACTGAATGATGAAATTCTAAGGTTAAATGTAGGATGTTAAATACATAATTAGTGGTATTACATGTAAACGTTTATTTAATCTAGCTAAAATACACAGTATTGTGTATTTTACACTACTAGTTTCTATACAGTAGTCATTCAGATGTATGTTTTCAACACACAGCACTCACTCTGCCATCAAGGATGTATTTAATGTACAAAACACCTTTCCAGCTAATGTGATCAAGCTTCCAGATTCTGAGTTGACTATATACAGTCTTCGGGAATCAAGGCATTCGATGTTGGTAAGATAACCTTACAACTATACACAGACAGCCATTACAAAAATTATTCCAAAACTGAAAGAAAATATACTATTATTACAAGTAAAATGGGTGAAAACTAAATAATTCGTTCACAGAAATTTATTTATGAATGTACATGTAATGTTCATTTTAATCATTTTTCTTTTCATTCTTTAGAATACAATGTTTTTGTTAAATATCACTGAGTCAAAATATTAAATATAATTTAATAAATAGTTGAACCAACTAACAGATAACAAAACCGATTGTTTATTAAATTAGCATTAACAGTTTGGAAGTATGAAATAGTTACATTTGATCATCCTTAAAGTTATTGAAGATAATTTTCACTCAGTCACTTCTTGCGTCAAAGTAAAAATCTACTCCTCTTCATCTAAATTGTAGTAGACAACAGCCTATCATAACATTAAGGAACAACAAGAGAGCTTTTGGTCTGGCCTGGCATGGCCAGGTGGTTAAGGCGCTCGACTCGTAATCTGAGGGTCGCGGGTTCGAATCCCTGTAACACTAAACATGCTCACCCTTTCAGCCATGGGGGCATTATAATGTGACGGTCAATCCCACTATTCGTTGGTAAAAAAGGAGCCCAAGAGTTGGCGGTGGGTGGTGATGACTAGCTGCCTTCCCTCTAGTCTTACACTGCTAAATTGGGGACGGCTAGCGCAGATAGCCCTCGTGTAGCTTTGCGCGAAATTCAAAAAACAAACAAACAAACACCTGAAGACAACCCGATTCACTTCCGCCTACTTGCCCCCTCATCATTATACGTATATATGCGGGTATATATAAATGTATATATTTTTTTCCTTAGTTACTTATAATCATTTATTTTCCTACTTCTTCGCCCATACGGCTCATTAAATCGCTGACCACTAATTGAACTTTAACCTTATGCCTCGAGCAGGGTGAAGGGGCATTGCTAATCTTCGAGCACCCTTGATTATTAATTATTTCCCCTGAAATAATTAAGTTTAAATCTAAATAAATGCCAGAAACGAACGAAGGCAACCCGTTCCAAAAGCCAACCACCTTGTTAAGAAAATAAAGTTGTATTAACTAAAGATGACTCCTACCCTGCCAAAATTTATATTTCTGTCCCCTAGTCTTACCATTTTCACCATTAAATACGAAAAAAGGTGATGCATCAACACTATCAATTCCCTTAAGAATCTTAACACTTCAATCAGATGCCCTCTAACTCTTTTTTTTCTTCAAGAGAAAACAAATTCAGAGATC